TATGTATCCGTAACAGGGTAAACTCAACAATCAACAAACAATTGCGAGGAAGTCTCGAGCGATGGCGCCCCCTAGCTTATGCGCGCACGGAGATTGCGAGGATGTCTCGAGCGAGTGCTCCTCTCGCAACTCAGATTGCGCTGTTTCTCGAGCGAGGGCGTCGCCCCTGGGGGTTTGATGGAAGCCCCCGTCGACTCCGCTCTCTTGGCCCCTCCTTGGCCCTCTTGGGATACGTCATGCAATGTCACCCGGCAAGGGGGAGGGGGGACAAATGGTTGCAGAAAGCTGGCCCCCGGCATGGGGGATAGCCCCTGTGGGCCTCTTGGCCTCCTGTCCTGCGAGGGGAGGGGAGGCGGCGGTGCAGAACGAGAACGGCGGTCGCCCATCGGCAGGCACGTGCGCGCGCTGGTGCAGGTCGGCCGACACACAACGGTGGGATTTGTTACCCAACAAGCTCAAAGAGAGAAAACAGCCGCCCAACTGGTACCTGAAGCTCGTCGATCCACACGCCGACCCGCCCGATGACTGGGACAAAGCTGGGGGGGGCCGTGGTTGGCCATCGAGCATCAAGGACCGCTTGGACACATACATGGCATACAGGTGTTTGGGGCAGGGCACGCTAACCCACATCAGATGATATCCCATCCCCTTCAACACACATCGGTGGACAGTGCACTCTACGTAACCTGTGTCAAAATTATCACCCTTCGCCCCTTCCCTGGTTATCGATCGGGGGGGGTGGGGGGCATGTGTGCGCATGTGCATACGTATGCGCGTGCAGTCGAACATATGCACGTAGTAAGGATGGGCAACCGCCCCAAGGGTACCCTTGCATCCTTGCCTTCTCGGCCCATCCGTACGTAACCCCTCTCGATTGCCAGCCCTGCTAGAAAATCTTCGACATGGGCGTTCAAGGGGCTTGCATCTTTATCGCGCATCCTTATCATCAACTTGTCTGCACCTGCGCGTGAACAGAAAGTAGGTGCTGTGGCGCGGGCAAACCTGGTGGCGCTGACGAGGAGCTCGATTGCGCAGGCCTCGTGGGTGCCTACCAGATGATGGCAAATCATGAGATACAGGAGATCCGCAAAAGGAACCTCGCGGCCATGGGGACCAACCAAGCGCTGGCACGGCGGATCCGCAGTGGCGAGCTGTCCCCTGAGGAAGGCGTTGCCCAGGCCAAGGCGGTGAAACCCGAAGTGAACATTGGGAGAACTTGCGCCAAGTGGCACGCCAACTCTCACATACGTCGATACAACTGGCGAAAACAGAAGAGCGACGCCAAAGGCCACAAGTACCTCTCGCTGGCCCACCCGAAGATGGTAGAGTTCAGGAAGATGTTCCAGACAGCCATCGACGACCCCAAGACGTGCGGGCGGCTGGTGCTGAACATCGACCACGTGTTCAAATTCAAGTACCGCCCGTCGCCGACCAAATTGCATAAGGACCACGTGCACGCTAACCCTAGCATGCCCCGCATGAGAATGGGGGGCAAAAGAACCGGCCGGAGCCAAAATTGCAACGTAAATTCATAATCGGGTCGAGGAGGAGGATGAGGAGGAGGAGGAGGAGGAGGAGGAGGAGGAGAGGGAGGAAGACGAGGAAGAGGAAGAGGGGGAGTAGGAGGAGGAGGAGGAGGAGGAGGCCCAGGAGAATGGGGGAGGAGGATGGATGGAGGACGGAGGATGAGAGGAGCAGGAGTCATCTCCCTCATCCAGGACGCCACCTTCGCAAGCCACGCGAGGGTCGACGCACGCTAACCCTAGCCTGCCCCGCAACAGAATGGGGGGCCAAAGAACCGACCAGAGCCAAAATTGCAACGTAAATTCATAATCGGGTGGAGGAGGAGGAAGAAGAAGACGAGGAGGAGGAAGAGGAGGGGGAGGCCCAGGCCCAGGAGGATGGGGGGGGAGGGGGAGGATGGATGGAGGATGGAGGAGGAGAGGAGCAGGGGCCATCTCCCTCCTCCAGGACGCCACCTTCGCAGGCCAAGCGAGGGTCGACGGCAGGTCTGGACTCGCTCGAGTCGCGAGGAGCGTCGCCAAGGCTCTCCACACCTCGACCTCATCATGTGGACTCGAGAGGTTCGGCACTATTCGCCTCGGCATGGGCAAGCGAAAACGTGCCGACGACCTGCCAGAGGCCAACGCTCGGACGCAACAGGTAAAGCGCCAGCGTCTGGGGCATACTTATGTTTCAGCCTCCTGGCGAGACGGGGTGATGGGGCCTGGATTCATTGCCCTGTCTCAGAAGGAGGCACGATGGCAACAAATCGGAAACCTTCTCAACGCCTCATTTAACACAATACGGACACGTGGCCGTGCACGCTAACCCATGTACGTACTTATTATTGACTCTTCGCGGAACCCCACCACCTCATCCAGAAACGATGGCCACGCGAATGCTTGACGCTTGGCGTATCCCCACCAGCCCATCCATAAACGACGCCCAGGAGAGCTGACGGGAGAAGGGAGAAAGAGACGCACATACGTAGTGAAACAGCGCGGGTCGTCGTCGTCGTCGTCGTCGTCGTCGTCGTCGTCGTCGTCGTCGTCGTCGTCGTCGTCGTCGTCGTCGTCGTCGTCGTCGTCCCCATCTCCCTCCCTCCTCCTCGAGCTCCACCCCCGCCTCTCCCCACGTAGCATGGCCTGATTCTTGGGTTGGGCCATCTTGGATGCTCTAACCGCTCGCGACCGGCCCCGTCCAGGTCCAGGGGAGGGGGGAGGGGGAGGGGGAAACCCCTCCCCGAAGGGAAGAAGGGGGTTGAAAGAGGAAGCTCTCTGGACCACCTACGCACGCCCAGAGGGATGGTGGGATTACGTAAGGTGCCCAGGGAAGTGCACGGAGCCCATGGAGGCCGAAAACAGTAAAAGCGGAAGGAGGTCCGGGAAGCATTTTTTTCGCGCCTCGGCTTCAGCCTCAGGCATATGCGCCTGACGGCCTCGAAGCGATGAAGGTCGCCAACGCGAAATTTGCTGGGCAGCTCATGGTCGTCCCGAGCGGCCGAAAGACACACTTCTTTGACGGTCGGCTGACAATGCTGTATCTGAAAGGTTGCACCCTCTGCCGCTGGCCCTCCAGACTTAGCCGTCTTGGGGGTTCTTGGGCGGGCCCCGATCATGTTTGGCTGGGGCAGCTGGGGCCTATTGCGGGCAATTTTGGGTCCCAGGTGGCATTCTAGGAAATTGTTAACGCATCCAGACACAGTGCTCAGGATATCCATACCAACCAATACATGAAGACGAGCACGCTAACCCCCGCTCCTCCTCCTCCTCCTCCTCCTCCCTTTCCTCCTCCTCCTCCTCCTCCTCCTCCTCCTCTCCCCCCCTCCTCCTCCTCCATCAGGCGGCAGTCAAGCAAAGACTTCGCCGCCTAGTGCCCCCATGGGGGCTGGCGGACCTAGACTTTCTGAAGCTGGTCTTCCGCCAGAGGCGGCAGAGCCTCCACGACAAGTACGGGGTTCCCCTGGACGCCCGGGGAGTGGTAGTGTGGGATGCAGCCCCCGGCGCTGTCTGCAGGATGTTCGAGCAGCTCCGGGCGCAGTGGGAGAAAGAGATCGGGGTGCGACAGGGGGGCGACCCTCTGGGGGCCCCCCCCCCCCCCCCCCCTTGCACGGGCACGCTAACCCCGCGACTGGAATCGCGAGGTCGATATACGTGAGGATTGTATATATGTATGTACAGACGTATATATATGTACACATATATCTGTATACATATTTCTACATATATATGTATACGTATATACATCTCTCTCTACGTATATATATATACGTAGGTATACACGTATTTATTCGCGTACGTATACGAATGTAGTCAGATGCCCCAAAGAGGCCCCCAGGGGGCCCCCAGAGGCCCAACAGATGCCCCAAGAGGCCCCAAAACGGTCCCGAAGAGGCCTCAAGACTGCCTCCCAGAGGCCTCCGAGAGGCTTACCACGAGACACCGTCGGCCATCCGATGGCTGGGTGGGTGGCTGGCTGGCTGCCAAGTAAGTAGGCCGATTGATTGGGTGGCTGGTTGGGTGGATGTTTGGTTGGCACACGAGTGGTTGTAGCCTTGAGAATGCGGATCCACTGTTCTGGGATGGGGCATCGTGGCTGTGGGAGTGTCCACCCTTACTTGCTAGGTGCGCCGTGCAGATAGGCCCCCATGCGAGATGTCAGCGCAATGCTGCATGCAATGAAAGCTCCATCCCTCGATGAAAGAGCCTGCCCCCGCGCGCGGTTAGCGTGCTTCACTTCCGCGCGCGCCACCCCTAGGTGACGCTCGTCGCTGGCCCTGGCGGCTTTTCGGCGGATGGGCAGCCGAACGACGCTTTCCATGGCACACTCGAAGCTTGTCGTTCGGCAACGTGCCGAGAGATACTGGGGCTGGTCAGAAATCCATTGGCTCGGACGGACTTGAGCAAGCTGCCAATGAGAGGAGACGGGGTACAGGATTCCGAACTCACCCAAATGCAGGTCATACGTGCCCACCTAGTGGCCCAGGATAGCATGACTAAGTCACTCCTGGAGTGGTCCTGGAGATCTAGGCAGCTTGTCACGGTGAACGAGCAAGCCGCTTGGTTGGCCGAAGACTCTGGCATGAGCTTCGAGGACGCCTTGCGGCAGATCAACGGCCGCGAGAGACCGGCGCTTCCTTCGCACATGAAGAGTGTGAAGGACCATTGATAGTGAAAGGGGGGGCGACGCTCTTGGAGATCTCCGGGGATGCCTTAGAGGCACCTTAGAACGAATTTGGGCCGTCGTGTTGGTGTCTTGGAATGTCCTGGGAACCTACGTGCGTACGTATATTGGGACCGTGCTGGGAGACCCCTTGGCAAATTTCTGGCCTTGTTCGGGCTCATTGAAGCCATCCTGGGCCATTTTGGAACCGTATTGAGCATTATTGGAGCCGTCTTGGCCCAGATTGGAGGCGATCTACGCGACAAGGCGGATGGGCACGCTAACCAGCTTCGCATCCCGCTTCGGATGGTCCTTTCTGATCTGAACCACGGCAGGAGTCGATTGCGGACAAGCTGAAGAAACTCGAGAGGGAGAACCACGATGCGGGCATCGGTTGGATTGAGAATCTACTCCCTGGGGAGCACGCGGTCGAGATCACCTTGACGAGGACGAACGACAAAGAATATACTCTCCTGCCGCCGTGGATGGCGACTACTGTGAAGTGCATCTTGCGGCAGTACTCCGAGGAGTTCAACAAAGCCTCGGAAGCTTTGGAGAAAGCCAGAGGCAAGAAGAGAGAGAAGACTGCGGCTGCCAGGCTCGATAACTTGAGGAGAAAGGAGCGGAGGACCCACCTGCTGTGTTTCGACATAAATTTACGTTGGCCAGTCTGGAGTTTTGGAGATATCGCAGAGCGTTACCAGAAGGATCACATTGCATGCTTCCAACTGGTCGCTGATCCAGATGCGGGTGAAACACGGATCGTCACTAGCAAGTTCGAGTACGTGCTTGGCTTCCAGAAGGTCTATGCGGAGACGCCGGCCATCAAGTTAAACGAGGACATCACGAATGTCGACCCAGAGGCTGCGGCCTACTTGCGGGCCCTGCTGGCTGAATACCTGGACGAGCCCGCCGGGGCCGAGGACGACCAGGAGAAGGCCGAGGGGGCCGAGGCTGCGGAGGCCGAGGCCGCGGAGGCCGAGGCCGCGGTGGCCGACCAGGAGGAGGAGGAGGCGGCTGTGGTTTTGGAGGAGCAGGAAGCCAAGGCCGAGTCCGACTCCGACACCGACATGCCTGACGCCGACTCCGATGACGATGACATGATAAAGCTGCTGAGGCTGCCACGGGCACGCTATCCTACGCTGCAATTCCGCGGTTTCCAGAGAGGGGCAGGGGGATGGAGCGAGGCCCCAGTGGCGCCAAAGACGGCCTCAAGGGCCCCCAAGTCTGCCCCAAGAGAGCCCAAGAGAGGTACGTACCACGAACCCAAAAATCTACCCTTCCGCCCGAAGAGGCCCCCAGGAGGCCCCAGGAGGCTCCCCAGAGGCCGCAAGAAGCCCCCAAGAGGGCCCCAGGAGGCCCCAAGAGGTCCCCAAGAGGCCCAAGAGGCTACGGAACTGCCTCCAAGAGGCGCCCGACTACCCAGGCACGGTGGCGGGATGGGCCGAAGGCCAGTAGATCCTCCGCCCTATGCAATGGTACGGTTTCCAGGGCGGGACAGGGGGGCGGGAGTGATGGAGCGGGGCATTGCCGCCCTCAGGCAGAAGGCAGACGAGGAAAAGTTGTCCGCCAAGAAGTTCTGCTTGAAGCTCCCCGCGGTGGTCGAAAAGAAGTGGGCGGCTCTGTGCTGGGGTTTCGGAGGCGACGTCGTGGCTAAGGCAGCGGATGGTACTATCGGGAAGGTGCCGAAGGAGATGCTGGTCGCCGCAGCTGTGCCCTGCGATCTTCCTTTGTTTACTCGGCTGTTCCAACGGTCGAATGAGAACGGGGTCGAGCGCTGGAGGGCCTACTACCGGGACCCCGAGAAGAAGGTTCTGCGCGTGCGACCGCACGACAATCACACGGATATCAAGGGAGATCCAATGTACGTACGTATTGTAAGCATACAGTCGCAATGCACGCTAACCCATGGTAAGTGCACGATACCAATACATATGTCCACGTCATGGTGCAATGCACGCTAACCCGTGCACGTAGCTATTCATGACGTTTCGCGTCTCCCCACCGACCCACCCAGAAACGATGGTCAGGCGAGTTGAGAAGATCAGGGAAGCGTACGTAGAAGCAACGGGAGGTACGTGCACATCTTGAGCCATCTTGGGGGTCATCTTGGGCTCTCTGAGGCCTCTTGGAGCAAACTTGGTTTTTGGAGGATCCAACGCCTCGTGCCCCCCCCTCCCCTTCCAGATTCAGGGGTAGGGGTAGGCGGAGGGGTAAACCCCTTCCCAAAAAGGAAGAAAGGCGGGTTCCGCCCTGAGAGCTGGTGGGATTTCGCGCAGCTAACAAGTTACATGCATTTTAAGTTTGCCCTTCAGGAGAGTGGCCCGGGGGCGTACGAGCGGTGCCTGCAGTGGCTCATCGACGTCCACACCGACGTCCTCAAGTTGCCCGCGTAGGCATGTCGCGCCCTGTCCTGTTCCCCTCGTGCGCACGTACGTTCTGCAGTGGTTCGTTTTCTGTGCTGGTTTACAAGCGTTGCGAGGCTCTTTGGGCCACCTGGGACGCGTGCGTAACGCAACGCTGCTTGTGCCACCTCGGATGCACTGAGACACTTTCTTCCCTCTACATCCCCCCGTCCCTCCTCCCCCCCCGCTCTGCGTGGGATCGCGCACTGAGTTTTATTTTCTTTTGGGCTCAGTGGCCATCGAGAGCCCTCCAGAGGGCATATGGGAGCCTGACGTGCAAGCTGGCGCTTCGGGTACCAGGCATGTGGCACGCGGGTTGGGTACATGCGTTGGTGACACTCAGGCAGGGTTTTTGTACCCGAGGAGTCGCGGCCAGGGAATTTGTGCCGCACTATCTCTGGAGCTGACGGCCAGGGGGAGGCCGATGCAGTTGTGTTTTCGTGCGTAGGCGGCGCGGCACGCTGGGCGCAGCGTGCGCACTGCGCAGCCAAGCTTGTTTTTTTCGGGCCGGTTCGTGACCACGCCGGGCCATCCCACGCAGGCTCTCATGGGTTATTTGAGGTGCAGGTGAAGAAAGGAATCGGGATGAGGGAAGTTGGCCGTCCATCGGCAATGCGCACATGCCGCACCTCTTGATGCTCTGCCACCGCTGCGGGCAAAAGAAACTAAAACTAACTCCCTCTCCTCCCCCGATCCTCATCGTCCTCCACGTCCTCCGTTTCCCCCTCGTCCTCAACCTCCTCGTACTTCTCGATGCCGTGTATCTCTTCCTCCACCTCCTCCGCTCCTGGGAGTGGCCGTGAGAAGGGTCAGCAGCCGCGCATCGGCCGCGTGGCCATGACAACCTTGCTTTCACCTCTGGGTCACAATTCTCGGGCCCCAGGGCCGTCAAAAACCGATCCTCTGGGGCGGAAAAACTGCTCAAGATGGGCCCCGGAAGGGCCAGGGACCGATATTATTGAGCGGTTTCGCCTTCATCATCACCTCCTGTCCGATGTTCGACGAATGGCAAACGTGAGTGCGAGCGCGCTAACATTCGATCGTACGTCTCTGATGACGGCGTGAGTACGAGCACGCTAACCCTCCCCGGCCTCTTCCCCCACCGCCTCATCCTCCTCCTCCACCTCCTCCTCCACCTCCTCTATCCAGAGGCGGCTATTGAGCGAGTGAGTACGACGATGACATCGTCTCTCCAGACCCCTCCTCCAATCCTCCTCCATTTCCTTCTCCAAACAGAAAACAAGCAAACCGCTTGAGACATCCCCACAAAACGGCCGCGAACGGGACCGTGTCATACCCCTCGGCGGCTCCCCGTAGGGACGTGAAAATGAGCGCCTCGCTCGAGGCATCCTCCAAATCTGCTCCGAAAGCGAAGGATGTTGGGACAGAAAACAAGCATACCGCTTGAGGTATCCCCACAAAACGGCCGCGAACGGGGCATGCGTGAGTCTCAGCATGAGTAAGTCTGAGTAGGAGTAGGTCTGAGTATGAGTAGGTCTGAGTATGAATAATTTTGTGTGCGTAAGTCTGTGTATAAGTAAGTCTGAGTGTGAGTCAGTCTGTGCATGAGTAAGTCTGGGTACGAGGAGGACAGGGGAGGAGAAGGAGAAGGAGGAGAAGTCGGCAGCGTCCAAGAAATAGCAAGAACCCCATCTTAGGATATGGGAACAATTAGCCTGACGAAGGGCCTAACCATATGCAGCTGCGAGAACCGCATTGTGGGTGCCGCTTTCGGTGGTGTGCCGAAATGGGCATGCGGTGGGCGGGGGCGAGCATGTGGACGCGGCCGCTGGAGCCTTCGGTGGACCCCCCCCCCCCAAAAAAAAAACAGCTGTTCGCCGCCGTTGAGGGCTCTGGTCGGCTCTGCAGCGAGCGTCGCGCCCCTCGGCCGACCTACGTACCTCGATCGATGTTGCTGTCCCTATTCGTGTTTGTCTGGCTGTTCGGCTTAGCATGTGGCATGTGGCTGCGCGGCTACCTGAGTGGCGGGCCGAAGACGGCGGCGACCGTGGCACCGACGTCTCCGCCGGCTCCCTCGAAGCCTCCACCGGCTCCCGACGCCTACGCCGGCTCCCTCGACGCCTCCGCCTGCTCCCGAGTGGAGCCGACACCTCCTCGGGAACGATTCGTGGTCACGGCTCCGAAAGGCGACAAGTACCACCTGAGGGACGATTGCCCAGGTTTGCACAACCGCGATTTAGCTGGGCGTTGGGAAAGGAGGGTTCCGAGATCACCCTCCCCCTCCCTCCTCATACGTATCCATCTCGGTTAGCGTGCCCTGGCGGGGCGGGAAGATGCGCGCTATTCTTCCCTACTTACCCTACTTGCCCGTACTCTTCCCCACCCTCCCCCTTCTCATCCTGCCCTTGCGTGCGAATCCTTATCCCTCGTCCTCGCTCATCCTCCCCTTGCTTTTCCTCATCATCCTCACTCTCCACCTCCTCCACTTTGTCCTCAACTGGAAACACGAACCTCCTTTCCCAACGCCTTGTGTTCTGGCCGCTTGAAATGCAAGCATCTTACGTACTGGCCTCTGTGTAAGTTGTGCGCCAAGCATGAGTAGGACAGATGCCACTGCATGTTTAGATGAGATCGCGCAGCCACGCATCCTGTCTCCTCCTCCTCCTCCTCCTCCTCCTCCTCCTCCTCTACCTCCTCATTCCTAGTGCTCGGCAACAAAAACAAAAGGCCCGAGATCCGAGTAGGGCCGGAAAACAGGCCAGACAGCCATCGGACTCTGACCGTTTCAGCAATTGCAGGTCGCCACTGCGTGGCGAGGCCATCGGATTCTCACCACTTAGGGTCATGTCGGGGGGTTGGGGGGGTGCCTCGACCGGCTCTTCGTCTGGATCGACAGCATCCTCTCTTCGCTCTGGGCAAGAAGTGAGGGGAACGGGAGGAGGATGAGGAGGAGGAGGAGGAAGAGGAGGAGGAGGAGGAGAGAAAGGAGGAGCACTGGTCCAATGAGAGAGGAGAGGAGGAGGAGAGGAGGAGGAGGAGGAGGAAAGGACAGAGTGTGCGCTTAAAGCTTTCCTCATACGTATTATCCCTCACTGCCCCCTGGCCCCATCCCCCCTCCCTCGTCGTCGTCGCCATCTTCCATCTCATCCTAATAGTTTCGATGCGGCGCAGTTTGACCGCGTCGGTTCCTGCGTCGCGGATGTTCGCCTTTGGTGAAGCGAATCTCCAAGAAAAGCCATATTGATAGGGACATCCTAAAAAAGCGCACCTCGGATATCACGTACGAAAATTTCGGGGACGCGACTGTTGCGTACGTTACAAACGCTTATGGCTTCCAAGACGCGAATCGTGTGTAAGTTACAAAGGATTATGGGTTCGGGGACGCGGATCTGGTGTAATTTACTCAGGTTTATGGCCTTGGGGCGCAAATCGTATGTAATTTATATGTCATCACAGGCACGAGGGGGTGGGGGGGTCAATGCACGCTAACCATGTGATGGTTGGGGGGCGGATGATTCCAAGACGCGAATAGCGTCTTGGAATCCAAGACGCTATTCGCGTCTTGGAGGGTTTCTGGCTTCCAAGACGCGAATAGCGTGCAATTTGCAAGGAATCTGGCTAAGGGGACGCGAATTAAAGGTTTATGGCTTCGGGGACGCAAATATTGTGCAATTTATTTGCGAGGGCTTACGTATGGCTTGGACGACGCGAATCGTGCAATTTATTAGTCATCACGGGTACGAGGTGAGGGGGTCAATGCACGCTAACCATGAGATGGATGGGGGGGATGAGGAGGAGGCTTCATGCACGCTAACCTACAACCGCCGTCCCATGGCAGCGGCGGGGGCGGCGGCGGTGGCTCCCACACGGCGGCGGCGGCGGCGGCGGCGCGCGCGCCGGTTTGTGATTTCCTAAATTGTCTCGAAACAATCAGTAATTGAAATCGGGACCCGGTTCGGGCGCCCAGAATTTAAACGACATTTTTTTAGGTGATCTGTTTGTTTCTATTGTCTGTTGTTCGCGTTGTCTCCGCCGCATGCGAAACTGTCGCCGCTTTCGAGGATGCACGCTAACCTTCAACCGCCGTCCCATGGCGGCGGCGGCGGCGGCTGTGGCTCCCACACGGCGCGCGCGCCGGTTTGTGATTTCCTAAATTGTCTCAAAACAATCAGTAATTGAAATTGGGACCCGGTTCGGGCGCCCAAAATTTAAACGAAAATTTGTTTAGGTGATCTGTCTTATTGCTGTTTTTTATTATTTCTCACCGTCTCCGCCGACGCCGCCCCGGAGGACAACAAATTAAGGGTTAACGTGCATGTAAATGCACGCTAACCTACAACCGCCATCCCAGGGCGTGCCTCCCCCACCCAGGGCGGCGGTGACGGCGGCGCGCACGGCGAGAAAAAAAAAATCACCTAAACAAATTATGGTCTAATTTCTGGACGCCCGATCCGGGTCCCGATTTCAATTACTGATTGTTTTGAGACAATTTAGGAAATCACAAACCGGCGCGCGCGCCGTGGGGGAGCCACCGCCGCCGCCGCCGCCATGGGACGGCGGTTGAAGGTTAGCGTGCATCCTCGAAAGCGGCAACAGTTTCGCACATCGCGGCGGAGACGGCGAGAACAACAAATAAATAAAAAACAGATCACCTAAACAAATTTTCGTTTAAATTTTGGGCGCCCGAACCGGGTCCCAATTTCAATTACTGATTGTTTTGAGACAATTTAGGAAATCACAAACCGGCGCGCGCGCCGTGTGGGAGCCACAGCCGCTGCCGACGCCCTGGGACGGCGGTTGTAGGTTAGCGTGCCTCCGCGAAAACGGCAACAGTTTCGCACATCGCGGCGGAGACGGCGAGAACAAAAAAAAACCAAAAACATGTTACCTAAACAAATTTTCGTTTAAATTCTGGGCGCCCGAACCGGCTCCCGACTTAAATTACTGATTGTTTTGAGACAATTTAGGAAATCACAAACCGGCGCGCGCGCCGTGTGGGAGCCACCGCCGCTGCCGCCCCTGGGACGGCGGTTGTAGGTTAGCGTGCCTCCTCGAAAACGGCAACCGTTTCGCATATCGCAGCGGCGGCGGCGGAGACGGCGAGAACAAAAAAAACAATAAAAAACAAACCACCTAAACAAATTGTCGTTTAAATTTTCTGACGCCCGAACCGGGTGCCGATTCCAATTACTTGATGTTTTGAGACAATTTGGGAAATCACAAACCGGCGCGCGCGCCGTGGGGGAGCCACCGCCGCCCAGGGACGGCGGTTGTAGGTTAGCGTGCCTCCTCGAAAGCGGCAACAGTTTCGCACATCGCGGTGGAGACGGCGAGAACAACAAATAAATAAAAAACAGATCACCTAAACAAATTTTCGTTTAAATTTTGGGCGCCCGAACCGGGTCCCAATTTCAATTACTGATTGTTTTGAGACAATTTAGGAAATCACAAACCGGCGCGCGCGCCGTGTGGGAGCCACAGCCGCTGCCGACGCCCTGGGACGGCGGTTGTAGGTTAGCGTGCCTCCCGCCGCTTCGATAAGCGAAGCTGTCGCCGCTTTCGAGGAGGCACGCTAACCTACAACCGCCGTCCCTGGGCGGCGGTGGCTCCCCCACGGCGCGCGCGCCGGTTTGTGATTTCCCAAATTGTCTCAAAACATCAAGTAATTGGAATCGGCACCCGGTTCGGGCGTCAGAAAATTTAAACGACAATTTGTTTAGGTGGTTTGTTTTTTATTGTTTTTTTTGTTCTCGCCGTCTCCGCCGCCGCCGCTGCGATATGCGAAACGGTTGCCGTTTTCGAGGAGGCACGCTAACCTACAACCGCCGTCCCAGGGGCGGCAGCGGCGGTGGCTCCCACACGGCGCGCGCGCCGGTTTGTGATTTCCTAAATTGTCTCAAAACAATCAGTAATTGAAGTCGGGAGCCGGTTCGGGCGCCCAGAATTTAAACGAAAATTTGTTTAGGTAACATGTTTTTTATTTTTTTTTGTTCTCGCCGTCTCCGCCGCGATGTGCGAAACTGTTGCCGTTTTCGCGGCGGCGGATACAGCGAGAACAAATTGTCGTTTAAATTCTGGACGCCCGAACCGGGTCCCGATTTCAATTACTGATTGTTTTGAGACAATTTAGGAAATCACAAACCGGTGCGCGCGCCGTGGGGGAGCCACGGCCGCCACCGCCGCCCTGGGACGTCGGTTGTAGGTTAGCGTGCCTCCTCGAAAGTGGCGACAGCTTCGCTTATCGAAGCGGGGGCGGCGGCGGAGACAGCGAGAACAATAAGTACAAAAAACAGATCACCCAAACGAATTGACGATTAAACTCTTGACGCCAGAACCGGCCCCGATTTCAATTACTGATTGATTTGAAGCAGTTTTGAAGATCACTAACCGGCGCCGCCGCCCCCTGGAGGACAGCAACCTACGGGTAAGCGTGCATGTTCAACGCACGCTAACCTACATCTGCCGTCCCAGGGCGGCGGCAACCCCCCCAGAGGCGTTAGTTAATTTCAGGATACGCTAACCACCTTTTTTGGGAGACGCTAACCTCGCTCATCCCTTGACAATCGTGGCGAGGTTAGCGTGCATTTTCAGATGCATATGAAGTTAGCGTTTGAACACAGTTAGCGTGCGTTTTCGGGGCCGGAAGATGCACGCTATTCTTCCCTAACTGACCGTAGAGCAAACACGAAGAAACAGGCCATGGGAGCCGCCCGGGAGTCGCTTCACTCGAAAAAGTATGAGGAAAGCTGGCCATTACATCGGATCCAGGCGCGCCTCGCCCCTCCCCTGGAACCTCTCCCTTAAGGGCTTCGCCCCACCAAATAACGTACATCACTCGTACCTCGCTCTTTCCGTCATACGAGGGAAGCTGGCCATTACACTTTTCGCCCGCGCCTTGCCCCTCCCCTGGACCTCCCCTGGAACCCCTCCCTAGAGGGCTTCGCCCCACCAGAACATCATCGCTCTTACCTCGAGCTCTCTGTTATCTGGGCCTCGCGAAGCCAGCACCCGCACACTTCCCTTGCTATTTCTTCGAACTAATTGATCGCCACGCTACGCGCGCTTCCCATCATCCGCGGCCCCCCAACCTGCTGGAGGGTGCACCCAGGAGACCAGCTTTTGGCCCCTTCCCGAAGGTTTCCAGTGGTCTTCTTCCGACCCGAGCTTTCGTGACAGCGGTGCCCCCGCCGACCTTCACGTTCAGGATCACCACCCCGCTGTGGTCGCCCGCGGCGTTGCCTACGTCGACACCCAGGACAGAGTTCTGACCTTCACTGGGGGGGATGACTGGCGACCGACGCTTGGCAAGAAGCAATAGGGTCTTGAAGCAATCGGGTTCCAGGGCCTGGGGCTATCCCCGCCAAAACCAACTTTCCGTCCTAAATTGTTTTTCGACGGTTCCGGGTTCGGAGAGGGCCCTGGGAACCCGAGGACGATGAAAAAAAGGGGTATCGTCTCCCTCAGGACTAGAACCCTCCTAGATGGGGTCGGAGTAGATGGGGTCGGAGGATCGCCCGCCGCATCGTCGATACATCGGCGATGCATCGGCGATGCACCGGCGATGCATCGTCGATGCACCCGCGATGCACCGGCGATGCATCGTCGACGTCGGCGATGCATCGGCGACGCCGACATGAAGCAAATCGGGCTGCACATCGAGACGCATCGGCGATGCATCGGCAATGCGGCGCGATCCTCCGACCCCATCTGCTCCGACCCCATCTGGGAGGCCTAGAAGACCCCTCTGCCCTGTGTCGAGGTAGCTGGGGATCGACTCGTCGCGCCCTCCGCTGCCGGGGCGGGCAGACGAGATGGGGCACCTCTTGGCGCGCGCGAGCGTCTTTGCCGAAGCTCGGAGACCCAACGGCATACACGAGCTTTCGAGGGTCAGCGCGGACTTCCTGGATCGGCAGTGGACCCCCTTCCCTGGCGAAGGACCGCCCCAGGGGCGGCGCCAGGGGGGTCCAGTGCCGATCCGAGAAATCAGCGCTGGCCTTCGAACGTTTCTTTTGGTCGTGGCGTGTCTGTCTCGAGGGGCTGCCATCGGAAATCTCTCGACTCCAACACGTGCGCACCAGTACGGGGGTGCGGCTTGCGTGAAAGCCACCCGCACGGGGCCGGAGCAGGCTGGAACCTCGAGAATCAAGACCCGCCTCGATAATCGAACCTCGAAAAGGTTCGACCTTCGAACATACGTTTTTATTTTGGTTCTTCTTGGAAAAGCGGCTGGGCTGCAAGCGGAGGGCATCAGGGCCCCGTGCACGGGGAACATGACAAATCAAAACGTACGATGGCGCACCCCAGAAAACTGCAGCCGTGTGTCGAAGCATCCTCCACCCCTCCAACAATGCATGCCTCCAGCTGTCGACAAGCGCGTTCCACTACTCGCGAAGTAGCTACTCGCAAATGGCCAGAATCTACCGCGGGGGACGCGCGCTCCATTACATCACGGCAAACACATTTTTCAGACGTTTGCGAGTAGGCACTTTGCGAATAATGGAACGCGCTCGGTGAAACTGGATCTGACCTTAGGTCGGGCGTGTCCCCCTACAGGCGGATTTTGGAAGAAAAATTTAGAATACCCAAGAAGTGCTCAACAAATACGCAAGAATACTGAACACATCGTCCGCGAACTATTTTTGACAATTTTTGAATATTCCCTCTGTGCAGGGACAGGCCCGACTTAAATCTGGCCAGATCCTGGTTTGCAGTGCCGTGGCTTCCGGGGCCCTGAAGACGCTGCCGGATGCACGTGCCGTGCGCCGCCTCGTGGCCGCACCGTGCGCCGGCGTCGGCTTCTGCGTTGTCGCTCGGAGGCCGGCCGCGGCCGCCTCACACACATAGATATGTATTATACACACGTATATATTGATTAAATAAAATAGAGTATAACACATTACAATACAATATGACATGATATCATATAGATAATATATCCACACAGCTCGCGCCACAAGTTTGCCACACATTTGCGCGGGGTCTGCCATCGCATGTTGACGATGTAAGAAATAGAAGGAGTTGCGATGGCGATGGCGGGGTCGTAGTCGGACAGGAAATAAGCTTATTTCCTGATTCCCGCCGAACATGATGAATCGCGCAGGCGGCGCAAGCAGACAGGGCTGCGCCGCCTTGGGCCGAAGCGGCAGCGGGTAAAGCAAACGATGGAATCGCTCCCCACCGGAGCGCTCCTTCGAACTCGAGAGGAGGGGCGGGGGCGAACCTTGCCCGCTGCCGCCTCGGAGGGGCGCTGCGCAATGCAAAAGATCAGTCGCTGGCAAATCCAGCCACTGCAGCGGTGCATTGTAGGTGGGGTCGATGGATTAATATTCCAGATGCAAACCAAAATGGATGCCTGGAGCTGGAGTCACGTTTCCGTAATTCCAGCATCTTGACACCAAAATGTGTCGGGTAGAAGCGAGCTGGGTAATGCAGCTCGAGCGCGGCGGGCCGTGGGCGGTCCTGAACGCCCGGGAGATAACCGAGGAGGGCTGATCCCGCATCGCCGCATATAAAATTTAACACGACGGGGTGCGAACGCGCGAGCGGAAACGCGCCGCCAGCGAGCAGTCGGGGCCCCGCGACAACTCGGCATGGGGCAGCATGAGGCCCCCCCTCCGTGCGCGCAGTGCGGCTGCGAGTGAATAGTCCTCCAGACCTCTGGGATCTATCGGGCGCGCATGTAGTCGCGGCGTTCAATTATCGGTGTCCGGAAACTCGTTGCCTCGATCCGGAACATGATTCTTGACCTCGCGCCGGTAGCCCTGATGACCCGCGATAACATGAAGAAGTCGATCGCGGTCGATGGTGCCCTTGGCGTGGCCATCCGCGGCCATGTCTCGGGCGACGCACTGCTGGGCGTCAGTGGCGGTGCCGAGGTCGAGGAAATCTCTCAACCGACTTACGTGTCCCAGCAGCGTCTTCTCGGCAAATGCCTTGAGATTTTTGAAGGACGCCGATTCAGCATCCATCGTCAGGGGTGCTCAGAGACAGGGCCGGCAGTATTTGCCGAGGCGTTTGATTTCAGAAGGGCTCAAGTGTCCTATTGAGGAGCTCACGCAGCGTTGCCAATGTTGGGCAACATTCGTCTAGGCTGTCAGCGGCGGCAGGTGTCTCGGGGCTTGGGAGCTGTGAAATATTCAGAGGCTGTCGATGCAACGTGAAAGTTCCTCCTTGCTGCTCGCGCTTGTACGGCGTGGCAAGTTGGGGCCTGGGAGGCCGTGGCCCCCGGTCTCGTCGCCCTCCTCGCCGGTGGGCGTCCTGTGCCGGGAGTCGCTGTGCAAGTCCACAGCGCCATCAAAGGTCATGGTCTGACAGATGACCTCGGGTTAGGGCGTTCGGGCGTCTCTCCTGTCTCTTGGTAGGTTCCTGAATGCGCTGCAATGAAGCAATGCGCGCCGTAATCCAGGACTGCGCGAGGGCGGGGTGCGCGAGGGCCCCCCGAAGGCCGAAGAACGTGCCGCCGACAACCTGGCTAGCCTTCGCACCTGGGAAAGCTCCAACAAGATCGAGGCGAACCATGGGGCGAAACTGCGCGATGTATTCGTCCTGGTCCACGACCGCGCCCCCGCTCTCCGTCTTGGCATGCGTCGCAGCGCAATTCGCGTTGATGTGCTCGTTCAACTTGCGCGTGCCGAGTACCTGCTCTGCATATTTGACGTAGGTATCACATGTGAGACTCCATCCCGCGCATCTGGTTACCGTCGGCGTGCTTGCAAGTGAGCAGGTCCTGCGTGGCCTCAACCTCGGGGTCGCAGGGCATGGGTTTGAGGCGAACGTTCTCAAATGCCCTGTAGCTTCGAAGGAAAGGCTCGAGGGGCACCCCTAGCGCCTGAGCTGAGTTTGACACATGTCAAACAATGTTGCGACTCATCGCGATCCGGAAAAATTGGTAATGTGCGAGGTGTCGCAGCGCGGCCTCAAGGCGGGACAAGCGCACGCGGTGCGTTCTTCTTCGCCCATGGCGTCGGACAGTTCTTTGCGTGCAAGACCCTTGAGAAAGAAAGGCCGTGCCCACTTCGAGGCTAACTGAGATGCCAATATTGACGGCATGCTGCTTCACTGGCCAACAAGCGCTGAGATGCGCGTCGCGCCGTTCCTGAGAAGGCACCCGCGGGTGATGCTTTTTGGTCCGCGTAGCCGCGCAGTGCAGAGCGAAGTCGCATGATTTTCTCCATCATTCCCGAGTCGCATCCCCCTTGTGCGCGCATTTTGAAGCCGAACGATTCTAGGCCTTGGTGGCAGCTCCTTGGAGAAACATCGGTTGTCCAACCACGCGTTGAGCTCTGCCAAGAATGCTGAGGCGGCCCGTCTGGGGTTGCTGATGATCGTGTTTGGTGGGTAGATCATCTTCCTCCAACAGTGAAAGCGCGCTTGACGTCGGCCGGAACATAGACGCGGATGGTGGCGATCACGCCTGGCAGTATAGCCTCGATGCGTGGCTCTTCCAGTGCACATTTGGCCATGCCTTCGGCTTGGCATATCTCGGCGCGTCGGCCGTTTCATCCGAATCTAAATCATACTATCTTCGTTCGCTGTCATCAGATAGCGCTGGTGCGAGAACATGGCGTCACTTTGTTCATGGCCACGTGGATCAATGGGGTTCCGTGCAAGCATGCGGTCTTCATGCTCGTGCAATACATGTGCCATGTTGGCAGGCATCGCAGGTGTCGGTGCCGAATGAAGGTCCTGGAGCTGTTCAGCTAGCGTACCTGGTTCAACATACTGGTGCTCAGTACCCATGAGCTCTTGTTACCTAGCGTGTACGATCATAATATATTTTTAGTGCTCGCCCTCGCGTTCGTCGAATGTTGATCGGCGCCCGTCTCCTGGCCCTGACGCCGCGGGCGTTTCCAGATGGTTCGCGTTTCCAGGGTCGCCGCCATCTTGAGGGCCGTCTGCTAGATCAAAGACTCGATTGAGGTCCTCGCCGAACGAGTGGACGGTCCGGTTGCAATCAGGCGCTGTATGATGCGAGCGTGGCTGTTGCTGGCGGTGCCCTGAGAGGTGCTGGTGGACTCGTAGAAGCGAAAGCCTGGCTGGACCTCGCTGTCGCATAACACCAAATTGCTGCGATTAACTCCTTGTGCATAAGACGCATGCGGTTTTTGCCGGCCGTAGTGCCGTCGCGCTGTCGATCCAGACCAGGTCCTGAACATGTACTGCAACGCCAGAAGCACGTCCGGAGCACATTCGCTACCCAAAGACATTCGATATACCGTCCTGCGGTCAGGTATGTAGCCAAACGTGATGGATGCCTTCCCTGCGGGAAGTGCGTTTACATATATTAGGCGACGGTCCTCGTGACCACGTTGTCCATGCCAAGTGCCTTGGCCGTGAACGCATCAACAAATGAGGTTCGTCTCGCATCGGGAAGCTGAATCACAGTATCTGTTCTCAGATTCGGCAGCCAGTCGTTTCGCTGGTTTCGGTGACTGCACATGGACCATTCCGCCCGCCATGGTCACCTTTGGTGGTAATTGGCAAATGGCAATCTACCGAGTCGCCTGGCCAAAATACCTTGGCCCCACCCGCTAGTCTTCGTCTTGCGGCCCTGTTTACCTTGGCTGTTGCGGAGCCTGCGCGGTAGCTTCCAAAGCAACGTCTCGGACGCAGCGTTCGCGCCCGTTCTTCAAGATCTGGCCCTTCAGAATCAGGAAGCATAGAGGGCGATCTGCCAGTGTAGGCGATGCGTCGAGAAAGGCGGCCATAACAAGTACATGCGCTGTTTGCAGACATAGCCTCAGCCAGTAGTCTGCGGAAAGCACAGGGGGTGTCATGCCCTTGCAGATTT